AATGTTGAAACAGGAGACAGCATGTCCTTGTGACCCGCCTCGCATGCCACCCTGGAGACCTTCTGACAAGATGGTCTCGCTGTCCGGGGAGAGCACAGGGGCCGATGCCCTCGTCCACCCCAGAGCCGGGTGCCAGGCCTACTGTGGGCGACCAGGCAGGGAGCAAAACAGACACGCAAAGCCCTTCTGCAGCTTGTTCTGCAGGGACAGACTGGTGACAGCAGGTGACCAGTGACGGAGAAAGGAAGCAGGTGATGGGAGGGAGCGGCTTTGGGAGGGCAGCCACAGCCCGCTGAAGGGGAGGCCGAGTCTGGAACTGTGCTGCCCAACAGTAGCCACTAGCCCTGTGGCTACTTCACTCAAAACAAAGAAAATTAAATAAAATTGAAACTCCACTTCCCCAGTCACGCTAAGCAGTTTAAATGCCCAGCAGCACATGGGACGATGAGGACAGGTTCCCATGATCATGGCCCAGATGGACGGCATCCCGAATGCTGGGAACTGGTGGAAGGGGCTGGGACACAGCAAAGCCACTGAGAAGTGACAGGTGACGGCAGGTGTGTCTGGCAGCTCCATAGAAACTGAACATCGGTGACACTGGCAAGGCCAGGACAAGAACACTCAGCTGGAGTGAGTTCTGGGGCCCCAGTGGTGATTCTGGGGCTCCGCATGGGCGAGGGAACCCTCGGTGCCCATAGCAACCAAGTTGCCATGGCAGGTGGGTGGGAGCCGGGGCTGAGCCAAAGACACCTGGGAGCTGCAGGCAGACAGGGAGTGCCAGGGGGCAGCAAGGGAAGGAAGAGGCTGCAGGCGTAGAACTTTCCAGCATGGACGGTCCCCCCGCCCATGAATCTAGGCTTCAACCTCCGAGTGAACCTGCTTCCTTACAAAGGCCTGAGACGCTTGGGAGCCTATACTGATGTCTAAAAGAGAGAAGAGAAATTATGTGCGGAGCACACAGGAACTGTCATCTCGGCCAACTTCCTGAAAATCTAAAACTATTCACAAGTCAGTTTACCTTTTATTTTTTTATATATATATATTTTATTGATTTTTCACAGAGAGAAAGGGAGAGGTATAGAGAGTTAGGAACATCAATGAGAGAGAAACATCGATTCAGCTGCCTCCTGCACACTCCTTATTGGGGATGTGCCCGCAACCAAGGTACATGCCCTTGACCAGAATCGAACCTGGGACCCTTTAGTCCACAGGCTGACGCTCTATCCACTGAGCCAAACCGGTTAGGGCACAAATCAGTTCACCTTTTAAACGTTAGAGGCCACAACAAAGAATCCCTACCGAGTTGCCGACAGGACCAGGCTAAGAGCCTCGCCCAGCAAAGTGCCACCGGGACTGGGAATGTCCGTCCGGAGAAACACAACACCGCGACCTGGCGAATGGCGTGGCCCTGCGCAGCGTGAAGAGCCCGCGGGGACAGTGCAGGAGGGCAGGGCAGTCCCGGGACCATCACTTCATGCAGGAACTCACTTTATTCAATCCCACACGTCACAAGGACTACCGGCAACTAAGTACTCACGCATCTGCGCTGCTTTGGTTTTAAAATTTAAATTAACATTAAATGAGACTAAGAATTGTTTCCAGGTCACAGGAGTCACCTTTCAAGTGCTGATAAGGGCACGTGTCTGGGGCCAGGGACCGACCCAAGGTCCCGGGAGACGCCTGCGAGTCCCGCCCGGCGCGTCCTCCCTCCTCGGGACAGCCCGCCGCGAGGTCCTCTGCCCCGAACTGAAGGCGACCCCTTGGGTCAAAATGACCACGGTCCCCGCTTCCCGCCCCTCGTCACAGCCAGAGACCCGC